CACTTTAAAAATGTTAAACAAATTATAAATATGAGTCATTATTTTATATCATTCAGACCTTTGACTTTACAGGTAAGTCTGGTCTTGTATTGTTCTAAACCAAAAGGACTTACCATCTTGGCCTTGGTCCATGATGTGCTCTTGGCCTACAGCAGATGCCTCAGTACCCACACACCAGTACATTCTGGGTTGCAGTTGTGAAACTCCAGTAATGCAGTTTCGGAAGCAGCCCAGTCAGAGATCACCATCTGCACAACTCAGAGTACAGGTGACAGTATGGAAGCAAGATGACATTGTGGTTGAGAAGAACTCTTGTTTGCTATACAAGAGAGGGGAAAAAGAGCTTTTTAAATGATCAAATCTTTCTCCAATCTTGTAAATCTTTAAAATAATTCTTTCTTTCTAAGGCTCCCCTCTTTCTTTCAATGACCTTCATGTGCTACTTACTCCAGCTAAGCCCTGATGGGCTGGGTGAAAACAAGCAGTATCCCTTGAATATCTCAATCAACAGCCATCATCCATCATGTACATAATGTTTATACAAAAAAGTGTGTGCATTTTGATCAACACCATGACCTATCACAATTCCAGAGGACTGACGATGAAATATACTGCACACTTCCTGATAAAGGTGATAAAAACTCAGAGTGCTGACTGAGGTTTTTTTGTTTGTTTGCTTGTTTTGGACATGGTCAATGTGGTAATTTGTTTGACTATAACAGGTTAGTAACAGGGGTTTTGTTTTTCTTACTTTCTTAATAGATTTAATGAGACAACATTTGTAAATCATTTAAGCACAGTGCCTGGCAAATAGTAGGATCTTAATAAATACTTGTTCCCTTGCTCTTCCACTCCCCTTAATAAGGATGGAGGAGATTGGAAGAAGGGAAGGTAAACTTTTGTTTGAAAATAAAATTTAATGTAGAAAAAAATTTCTTTTATAAGCATGAGGATTAGAGAGGATATGGACTGTGCCATCAGCAGGGTCTCCTACCCTTTTCTAATTAGCAGGCTCCCTTAAAATTTAAACTCTTAAAGTGGGGATTATATTTACCTATGACATAGGACATACAGACTAGAAAAACAGATTTGGAGTCAGGAAGACCAGGGGGCAAATAATTTAACCTTTCAATGCTCTAGAAAACTCTCCAAAATTTACATAGGAGCCAGCACTGGTGGAGGGAGTTCCCTATAATTAATGGAATTATAATCCCAGTCTCTATCCCTGTTTATATTTGATAAAGAGGTGGTCTTCCTTGCCAAGGACAACCTTACTTGATCCCAGGCCCTCCTCTCTACTTCAGTAAACTGCCCTCACTATCATCTCCTTTTCTAATCTTCAATCTCTCCCAATGCACCAGCCCTTTTCCCTGCTGTCCCTACAAACAGGCCTCAAATCTCTCCCTCTCTAGCTCTTCTTCTCTTTCTTGCCTGTAAACTCTTTGAGGGCAAGAATTTTTCTTTTGCCTCTTTTTGCATCCCTAGCATGCTCAGTGCCTGGGACACAGTAGGAGCTTAACAAATGTTTATTGACTGATAAACTGCTTCTGGCTTCTGACCTCATATCCCTCCAACATTGCCAATGATCTTTTTTTAACTGTTAAGCTGATGGTCTTTCCTCAATACACATCCTTCTTGATCCCTCTCAAGCATTTGAAACGATTGACTACCTTCTCATTTGGAATATTTTATGAGTTTTCCTAGCACTATTTTCTCCCAGTTCTCTACCTCCTTGTCTGGCCACTTCTTGGGCTCCTCAGCTGGTTTATGATCATTTCATGACCCCTAATTATGGCTATTACCTCTAAAGCTTTGTCTCCAGCACTCTTCTCTCCTCTCTCACCTGTATTTATTTTGTATGAGTACATACTGCCTTTTATCAATAGAATTTAAGGTTTTGCCTTTTTGTTTTGAATTGTCTCCCTTTAAAAAAGGCTTGGTAATCAATTGATGTTGGTTCTGCACTACACCTAGTATACTATGTGTCTCCAACAATTATTAAGCACTACAGCTGCAAAAATAGGCCCAATAGATTTCATGACTTAGTACTTGAACTGGAAATCAAATAGCCAGTGCTTTTCTAAGCACTCCGACAGCTTCTATCATGAAGATTATCTAACACTGTATTCCTTAAACCCCTTTAAGGAATACAATAAGTTGTTTGGAGCAGCAAAATCAGAACAAAATTCACAGATGTGGTATTAAATATGACTTGGCAGTATTTCAAATAGAAGGGAGGAATATCTGAACAAGCACCAGGGATGTTAGCTTTTAAGCATTTTGGAGCCCAAGAAGTGGGGAGAAGTGGGGGGAGGTCAGGAAGGAGTGGGGAGAGATTGTAGATCCTGCTGAGATTTAACCAAGAGGTGTTAACTCCACAAAAACTAATCTAAAAAAACAAACTCATAGGGCTTGGGTTTGGGGAAGAGATATATGTAGAACGGGACTAAAACTATTGTAAATAACTGCCTTCAAATGCAATGTTACTAAAAATTTACTATATGCTCCCGCCACTAAAAGTAATTTAATGCTACGCAACTGTCAAAATTTTTTTAGTTTCCTACCTGTAATAATGTTTTTCCTCATTTTTACTTTTTTCTGTAAACTTGAAATTTTAGCTTCTGCTAAAACCCCCAACACATGCTGTTCCCCTTTTTGCTTTCAGTTTCTCTATGAAAATCATTTTTACCAACATAATATTTTGCCACCAGAGCAGCTTTATAATCACAATTTTGTCCATTTGCTAAATAGAAGTTAGAAGGTGTAGCAACTCAAGTTTTGCTCAGTCTCTGCCCGCAAACAGATCTCTGCTTCTTCATACATCCCCTTATCTTTAGGTTCCTGGCATAATTAAATTTATAAATTGGGAAATTATCTTATATTAGATGTGGCAAATATTGCACGTTTTTCCTTCTCAACTAAAGTCTGCTATAAAAACTTAGCTTCCTCAAAATTCCCCTCATCTTTAGTTAGGTTCCTGATATAATCAAATTTGTAAATTATGAAATAAGCTTAGAAGAGGCAAATAGTGCAAATTTTCCATTTTTCAGCCAAAGGGTGATTTCCAAACCTTTTCCACCTATATAATTGCATAAATGTTCTAAGATCTTTCAAAATAAAAAGGCCTGTATTCTCCGGGCAGTTGTATGCCATGACATCTCATTTTACAAAGATTCCTAAGGCTCAGAATAAAATCAATATTCTTTTTGCGACCTCATGTCCCTTCCACAAAAGTAGCACAGTAATGAAGTCAATTTACTTCAGAGGGGTGTGTCAGGGTGAAAGTAGTAAGACCATAAAGTCCCGAGGCCAGGCCTGGCTGTGGCCTAGAGGTGACTGGGAGTTCAAAAAGCCTTTGCAACGCGTAACAAAAACTCTAGAGGGTTCTACCTGGTGGCAAAGACTTACTGCTCGAGGGTCTTTTCTGCAAGAAATAGCCTAAATTTGGAGAAATTTGTCAGCAACAGATTAGCCGCAGGGTACTGTCTTTTTGCTGGAAAAATCAATTCTCCAGCAATGCAAATGTACAAAAATGTACAAGTTAACTGTTGCAAGGCAGAATGTGATAACAGTAAAAGCTCAGGACAAAGTGCTAAAATTTGAGGAGAAAAGATATATCACTTTCGCTGGTAGTTTGGGAGTAAGGCTGTGAACCGTGAAACATGGAGGAAGTAGTACCTGGATTGGGCCTTTAAAGATTTCAGTAATTCAAGAGAGATTTCTTTTGCTGACTTTTTTATTAAACCCAATGCAGAGGGAGTTAATTGCAGCCTAGTGAAAGGCATTCTGTGGGAGATAACCTTAGAAAAGAGGGATCATGATGCTCTTCCAAGACCAGGCTTAGAAAAAGAGTTTGTTTCCCTGACCCTCCAAGAACAAAATTTTCCAAGGCCTTCAAATCATGACTAGAAGATAAAGAGGGCATCTATTGGGGAATTCCCTGTTCAGCTGCTGAAGTCAATTCTTTAAATTCTAGGCACAGTTACTTAGTGTAGAAACTCCTAACCTTGGGCAAAAACAATATCCAAGGTATCACAGAGGTAAATGGTATTCTCATTAATCTTCCCACAATCTCCATGGGAGTAATAAGGGTGTAGAAAACAACTTTTCCTAAAATGTTTAACTGAGGTGGGAGGACCCGAACATTTATTTTACTTAAGTAACTTCCTACCAGCCAGACAATATTATGCTTTACATTCATACTTCGTAAAATTAAACTCCAAATGCCCTTCCTCACCCAGATTTGACAACCAAATGTTAAGAAAAGAAAAAAGAAAAAGAAAAAAGGCATAAGGCCAAGTATTTTGTCTGAAAGCAAAGGGAAGGTTTAGATATTACTTCTTTAACACCCCACCCCCTTGCTTTTTTCTTTTGTTGCTCCATACAATGCTACTTAATCACAATTGCCTCTTAAGATTTTACCAGAATACCAGTGCATCCAGCTTATCAAACCAAGTCTAGGTCTATAGATTCTGAGGGATTGTTTGAAATCCTAGTTAAGCAGGAGTGCCATAACCTGTTTTTGCTGCTGCTTTTTCTAGGTAGTATCTCTCCCTACTCCCCCCAGCACGTCCTGACAGACACTGAAGAGAGAAATTAAAAATCTTACTTATGGTTTAAAAAAAAAGCAAGGTGCTTTTGTTTCTGGGCATCTTGGATCAGGGTCCAAAGAGTCCCTATGGGCAAATAACCCGTATGTGTTCCCCTTAACATATATCCTTAAAAAGACTGGCAAGAGGTATTGCACGCATAATATTGTTTGGTTGATAGATCAATCAATCGGTCAATCAAAAAACATTTATTTAGCGCCTACTATGTGTCAGGCACTGTTTTAAGCTCTGGATAGATCGTGGACAGTAGAAGTTGGTGCATAACTTCGGGAGGAGGTCGGTCCTCGATCTCAGATTCCTTCTCGGCTTGCTGGCCATCCCCAAACCCCAGATTCGGCCGCCCAAGCCCCTACCCCTCCACCACCCCTACCCGGTCCCAGATTCCCGGTTCCCTCTCAGGCAGTTCCCAGGGAATGTGAGTCACTGCAGAGAAATCCCGGCAGCAGAAAGAAAGTTTGGGTTTCAGAGAGTCTCCCCGTAGCGCTGCAGGCACCTCTTTCTCTCCGGGGCAGGAGCCAAGGTGAGCTGCACCTGGGGAAAGGTGCGTCTTCCAGCCTGCCCGCCCCGCCACCCCCACCCCACAAAGTCCACGTCCTCAGGGGCTCTGAAGGCATCGGGGGCCGCCCTCCAAAGAGGTGGCCGACCGGAGGAGGCCAGCCCGTGGCTTGGCCTCTGCCTCGCCGCAGGCACAGCTAGTCTAGGGACCCAACCCCGCCACCCCACCCCACTCGGAAACTGCGTGGAATGCGTCCCGGAGGAGGAGAAAGCCAAGCTCAGGGAGGGGTCCGAGGAGAAGCTTACCTGGTACTCTGGGAGGGGTGCAGGGGGGCCCCAGCGATACCAGGTGGAATTGGGGCTCAGGGCTACTGCCGCTCCCTCCGTGGGGAGGGGAGAGAAGCAGGAGGCGTGGGCGGGAGTCCCCCGGGGAGGGCGGGGCCGGAGCGGAGCAGCGCCCCCCTTCCTCCCCCCACCTCCTCCTCCCTTCCCCGGCTTCCCGCGCTGCGCCCCCGGGCCGCGCGCTCTGCCTGGGCCACGGCCACGGTACGGTCACGGCCGCGGTCACGGCCAGGGCCAGGACCTCCCTTCTTCTAGGGTCAGCCACTCCTAAGGAAAGACGGGCGCGGGGCGCTGGGGGTAGGGGAGAATAAGCGGTGAGCCGCCAGAAGGGACGGGCCGGCCGCGGGGTAGTAAAGTTGGGGGGCTGCTTAATTCGGAAACGTCGGGCCCTGGGAGGAAATTCCGCGGTGGCTCGGGGAGAGAGCTTGGGAGGCTGGAGGAGTTCGGACAGGAGGCTGGAAGGTCCGAGAATTGGACCACGGCCTCGGGGCAGACTTCAGAAGCTATCGACTCTTCCCTCGATTTCACAGATGTGGAAACTGAGGCCCCTGGAAATTAGGAGACTTGAATCAAGAACCTAGGATCCTGGCCCCTTATTTTACAGATGAAGAAACTGAGGCCCAGGGAGGGTTACTCCTCCAAGGTCACAGTGACTATCAGAGTCAGGACTTGAAGTCTTTCTGGCTCTGAAGTCAATGTGCTGCATCCACTATGCAACCTCACCTCATCCTTCTGCCATATATTTTAATGTATCTGTATATAGATATAATTTGCAGCCACCCCTGGTCCATATTCTCTGTTAAATGGAGCAGAAACTAATGTGAAAATCGGATTTGTCAAGTAAGGTCCTTCCCCCAGTCAGACTTCTGCCTACTTTTTTCAGTCTAAACTTAGATGACTTCCCCTTCCATGATTACTCTGCTCCGACCAAAGTGGACCACTAAAGCCCTCAAAACATGTCTTAATTCCTTTAGGTGGTCTGTGACTCTTAGCGGCAGGCTCTATCTAGTCTTGTAGTCAAAAAAAAAAAAGACAAAAAACAAAATCTGAGTTTGAATCTGGTTTACCAGTAGCTCTAATGAAGGGAAGGAAAGGGAAAGGAATAAGCATTTATAAAACTCCTACTAGGTTCCCAGCATTATGTTAAGTGCCTTAAAATATTTTATTTGATCCTCACAACAACTACTTTTATTATTCCTATTTTATAGTTGAGGAAACTGAGGCAAACAGATTAAGTGATTTGCCCATAGTCACACAGTGATTAAGTGTTTGAGGCAAGATTTGAACTCCTGTCTTCTTGACTCCTGACCCAGCACTCTATTTGCTATGCCACCTATCTGCCCCTATATGGCCCAGAAAGTAATTTAACCTCTTTCTACCCCAGTTTCCTTATCTGTAAAATGGGTCTAATAATAGTTAAAAGCTTCAAGTGTAGTATTTCAGGAGATTGTTATTTAGGAAAATATTTCCTCAGTCTTTTAAGTGTGAGCTATTTTGGCTACAGGCACTTATTTGCATGGTTCATAAGTCTTTCTCATCCCCACATCCTGGACTCAGTTATTATTTAACTCTTTTCTGGGCCTACAGACAGACTGAACTTCTGTTAGGAAGCCTCGCCCTGTGAAGCAGAGCTGTAATTGGAGACCTGACAAGACTTTAGTCATATTAGGGCAAATCTCATTTCATAATTGGAAAGCAACTCTTAACAGATCCTTATAATAGCAAAGGGGCACAGTATTACCACTTCCTAGTAATGTTTCGATGTGACGTTTGTCTGTTAGGATTAAAGAAAGAAAGAATGAAGATAGCAAATAAGTCCACCCCACAGTGCAGAGGACGTTATGATTTCATTACACTTCTTATTCATAACTTCCTTCTTACTATTCCCCTAGCAACAACTCCGTCATATGCCACCTAGTGATTTCTTTAGGAAAAGCATGGTAGGGGATGTAGTAAGATTGGGCCAGGCTGAAAATTTGGTACTTTTTTTTTCTATTTTTGGAGGATAGGGTGGGCTTGGGACTGGAGGGGGAGGGGAGAATGGCCTTCAAATGACTAGATCGACAAAAGCCTCATAGCTAAATAGGAGGCCATTGGAAACTACAACTGCCCCGTTTAGAGTTGGTCAAATCATTCAATTTAACACATATATTGAAAAGAATTCTCAAATTTGTTTTCTTAATAAATTTCTCTTCACCTAACACTTGGGAGAAAAAGAATCTAACATTTTCTAATACATGATTCTTGAACAAGGCAAAACTATTCCCCTCTTTGCCTCTGTGGTACAGTGGAAAAGGTGCTTCAGTGGTGCAGTGGTAAATTTCAAATCATGTCACCTCTCTCATCTTCAGTGTTTCATCTGTAAAAGGAAGCAATTGGCTTCTCAGGTCCCTTCAAACTCCAGAATCTATGATCTGATGACAAACATTCTAGCCTTTTTCTTTTTTTTTTTTTTAGTAGCATTTTGCTGAGATACAGGAGCTGCATTTAAAACTTCAAATCCAAAATATTAACCTAAAAATGTTTATTACTACTTAAACCTACTGATGCTCTCATTCCAACTTTAACTTTCAACTTTTAGCTATGAATTATTTGTTGAAGTTTCAAAACAGTTTGGGAAAATCTAGATGCAAACATCCAGATAAAGAAGTAGCAAATCTTATTTTGGTTATTAGAAGAACTCTTGTCTAAGGCTGTAAATCTGGGCTAATGTAAATATAATCTCTCAGACCAGCAAATTTCTTTTTTTAAATTTGGATTAAGCACTTCATTCGTCTACCAGAGCCAGGTAAAAGAAGAAAGAACATCCACATATAATGGGTATGAATTTTTGTTGATAAGGAAAACAAGTCATTCTGTTTTGTCTCAAAAGTTTATTCTGTTTTAAAAGTGGTATTGCATTGCTTTAAACTTAATCTGCAGTGGAATTAGGATTCACAGGAGTATAGTGGGTTTTTTTTTAAACCACACCACAGAAAGATAAATCTTCAAAGAATCGAAAACCTAATATTACATAGATTTCCATTTCTAAATACAGTATATACAAGAAGTTTAAACATACTGTTTCCATGTACTTTCAGCTATAAAAAATAGGATATACTGTATACTAATTATAAATATTTAAACAATTTAAGTAGCATTTCATATGAAAAGCATAACTGTGCAATAAAAGAAGAGGAACCCTCTGAGGGGATTATTTTTAAAGTTAGCATCTAAAGTTATCTAAGAAAAAATTCAGAAAGTTCAGTGTGTAACGTCAAACCCTGATTTAACAAAATAATAAGACAATATGTTGAATCTTAACTGATAGAAAAAAACAGTGAATTACATATGGCATTATTTTCTAAAAGGATAGCAATTCTATATCATATACATGATTCTCTGTATACACATGTTGATTTTTATTTTTGAAGTTTTACTTTATTACACTACCCCCTCCCCCCAACTCAAATATAAGCGTCATTTTTCACATCTAGAAAAAAAAATACCAGTTAGGTGACACTTTAAAGTATGCCTTCAGAATTTTTTAAAAATAAGCTTTGATATTGCAATGCCAATAGGAAAATTTATAGCATTCCCAAGTTTGGAATTATAGAACATCTTAAGTTTTTGTTATATAAAAAGGTGAGAAAAATTCACAACATTCTTTTAAAAGCAATATTCCTAAACCACTCAGATATAGGAGACCTCTTGCCTGCACTCAGTCTATATTGTTATTTGCTGAATCAATTAGAAATCAGTATGGGTAGCAGACTTGTAAAGTAAGGCTAGGTGACACCAATCTTTCCAGTAGTAAGTCTTCCTAAGCAATTTGGATCAATAAGCAGCATGACCTAGTGGGAAGAGCCCTGGAACCTGAAGTTGGACAATATGGGTTTGAGTTCAAGCTCCCTCCTAGCTGTGTGACTGTCAGTAATTCATTGAAACTTGGTGGGCCTCAGTTCCCTTACCTGAAAAATGGGGATAATAATAGTTATGCTGCGTACTTCACAGGATTGCAGTAAAAAATGCACTTTAAAGTGCTATTAAAAACAACAAACAGGACATGTTATTTATGATCAGTGCTCCAGAGGGGAGAGAGAAGGCAGAAGGTCTTAGGGATAACCACAGAGCATTACTACCTGCTGCCGAATTACAGTTCGTGGGGAAAAAAAAGAGTTCTCACTTTAAGTAGCTTGTTCATGCCTAGTGCTTAGCATAGTGCCTGGTACATAGTAGGTACATAATTATAGGCACATAATAACTGCTTATTGATTGTTGCCCAGAGCTTAGCACTGTACCTGGCATGTAATAAATGTTGATTGATTGCTTAATGTTCTGACTCTACTATGCTAGGGATAGATATATAGATACAGGGCTCTCGGTGAAATTGCTGTGAAAGTCTCCCATGTTATGCTTAAAAGTTAAACATATACCAAGCTGCTAGACTTTATAAGATAGGGGAAATCTTTGTGGTGAATGCAGTGCAAGAATCTCTTTTTCCCCCAAAAAAAAGAAAGTGCTTGGCAGGATGTATATGTTGTGTGTAGTATGTTTTGGAGGCTACTGAATGATATTTGGGGGACATATTTAAACCAAGTAATGTAGGTATACCATACTATGAATGAAGAAAACTGCCTGCCAAATTAATCACTGTTCATTCTATCCTTTAATGAGATTAACACCCCTTCATGAAGGAACTTG